CAACTGACAATCTACCTGTATAAGATAAACTTAAATTTATAGCAAAAAGTTACTTACTAATTTCTTAAAGCCAAGTACTATCCACTCAAGAGATAATATAAAAAGATATGGTTTGTTTTAAAAAAAGTCTGATTAAATTTAGTTCAAGAGTAACAAAATGATAGTTTGTTTTAACACTTGAGATTATATGACAAGCAGAACATCATTTATTTTGATAAGACAATATCAGCCTTTATCTGATAAATTTAATTCACAAAAATAATTGACAAAAAAGGTGGTTTAAAAGCAAAGATATTGTTACATAATCAAACTTATTTCTCCGGACGTAATTTCTTATATTTAGTGTCTCTTTGCTATTATTTGATTTAAAACGGTTAATAATGTCGCTGTTGGTTGATAATTGCCATATTAAACATTTATTCCACTCTGTTGCATAATTTTTTGTTGTTGGTAACTCATCACCTGTTATGAATTACCAATAACAACAATTATTATATATACATTACAATTTGTTACTAACTTTTATAGGTTGTTTTTGACAAAATGAAAGATGTATAATTAGGTAATTTATTGGCAAATTATAATGACTCAGGAAAAATAAAAAAGTAATGCGTGACTTATACATTCATGAAGATTACATTTTTACTTATCATAAGATTCATATACTAAATTATAAAGAAAAAACAAGTAAATCGTCATTTTTTTGTTTACATATACTGTTTGCACTTACCTAAAAAAATTATTGAGTTGTGTTCTTTATAAAAAATTTACAGTATGACCACGTGCTTTTATTTAAAGTTGGTTTTGTGCTATAAGATGAAATTCTTTAAGTCCATTTATCTAAAAATTGAAGGCTCTGTAATTCAAAATCAAAGACATTTATGAATGGGGTCCTTTTCTCTATCAATTTGTATAGTTTTTGACAGCGATTTTGCCAAGTTTCATGCTGGTATCACAATTTGATCCTTATTCTCTCCACTTAAAAAGAAGTAGATTGTAAGATACGTTGTGCGTTGTGTTCGGCCAAATATGCACGTATGTGCATGATTATTTTAAAGATGTATAAAAAGTTACTTTGACAAAACGGTTTTCTCGAAAGATACGGAAAATTGTTTTATTTTAATAAATATATTCACCAATGGATTTTCTCTGCAGTTTCTAGAGAGGCAGAATTAACCAACCCAAAAGTTGTTCAGTTCCCTCCAATCTTTTTCTTCCAGAAGAAAAACATTGGATTACACATGATAGTGTAAATAATACTTTGTATGATTATTGGCTGCTTTAAGAAAATGACAAATAAAATATTTTAAAGTGGAGGAATAACAGATATGCCCTTATTATAGATAATGTCTAACAATGTCTATAATAAGGGCATATCTGTTATTCCTCTAACGCTCTAACTCTATAATAAGGGCATATCTGTTATTCCTCTAACCCTAACCCTGAAGGTTCTCAACAAGTCTCGGAAGCCTAATTTTTAAGATAATGTGAGAAATATGAGATTTCATGACCTGAGAATAGCAGGCTCTGGCGTTAGACGAAAACTTTTTGCAATGGTTTCTAGTAAAAGAAAACAGACTTCTATTTCCTGGAGAATTGTTTTGGCAATAGATATAGAAAAAATAGTTACGATTGGAGATTGTAGCAGCACAATGAGAGGAAAACCATTGAGAAGAGTGATGCTTGACTTGGAAATGTCAAGGGTGAATAAAAGATTCCATGCCAGCCTGAATCCGAAAAGTTACATAAGAAGCACATTTGTCAGCAGAAAAACAAAAAAATTTTCCCCAAGGACCATCACAAACAAAATAATGTCGCAGAGTCCCAATCAGCTTTAAGGTGGCTGTAAAAGGTACAATGATAGGGGGATTCTGATGATGAAGAAAAATGAGATCATATTATAATATAAGGAACTTATTTAAGTCAACAAAAATGTATGCAAATATCTAACTTACGCAGATATCTAACTTTCTTCAAAAAAGTAATGTTAAAAACATTCAAAACATATATCAAGTTTTTTAGTTATACTTTCACTTGAAAGTTGCATTGCGACAACATCTCCCTAAGACATAATCTGTAGCACTTATTTCCGTTTGATAAAGTCTTTAATTATTTTAAAATTTCCGTCAGACAATATCCTTGCGTAGTCGAGTGGTTAGCAGGTACGGCTCGCAATGTAGTGAGTCTAGAATAAATTAAAAATTGGCTAAACTTTTTTTTTTAATTTGATCTTTTTCAATTTTGCTAAATTACAAAGTAAAATGCTTTTGAAGAAAGAAGTTTGTTTTGAAAGAAGGAAAGTTATTTTGTTTTGCATTTTAAATTTTTAAAAAAAGCAAGCTGATGATTTGAACTTGCCTTGCGGCAACTTTTAATTTTATAAACAGTAAGGGGGTTTAAAAATTATGTTTTTATTAAGAACATAATTGAAAATTAGAATTTTATATTTAAAATAAACCACTTCGTTAAATTTATAATTTTTAAAAATTATAAAAAGTTAAAAATACGTAATGTTTAGGTAGTAAGGAAATTTTAAGTTTTACAGCTATTTTACCACGCCCCCGTTAAATATTCTAAACCGAGTGCGAAACAATGACATAATTTAGATAACCATCAATATAGTTTTATACTCTGTATAGTATTAAAAGAGTCAACTCGGTCGCTTTTAACTGATAATGCACGAGGCATTGTCGATATGATAAATCTTTTGCATTTCCTATTTTACTTACAAATTTCTGAAATAACTTTGAATCTTCTATTATCATTATCATAAATAATATAATTATTGAATATACTTTTATTTATAAATAGTATGTATTTTTTAATCTGTTTATAAAGTTAACTTTTTAATCTGTTTATAAAGTTACTAAAGCTTAATTTTTTAATGTTTTACTTGACGAAGGATGTTCTGTTTTGAAGGTGATGTATTGAAATTCTGTCTTGACAGGCTGGTAATTTTATAATATCTAAAGATGACCTTATTTTAAATATAAGTTTTTTTTTATTTTTTATTGGATTTGAATAACTTTGTGTTAGATATTCAATTTTGTTTTACATGAATCTATTTATTTAGTTCAGTGTTATTTTCCGGTGACGATATTCAGGTTAGATTTTATAAAGTTTAATTTACTTTTAAAGAATCTTTGAAATTTCTTAATAAATTTACATTTGGTTTTTTTTTTTACTTTCTAATTAAACAAATTTTTTTGTATTAGGTGTTGAAAATTGAATAACAATATTTTGTTTGTTATTTCAATTTTAGTGCTTAAAATTAACAGGTTTTAATTTCTAATTTATTTTCATCTTTAAAACTGATTTAGAAGTAATAAGCTATTTAAAAAGTCATTAATGATAGCAAAACTGTCCTTATTTTTCTTACAAAGTATTTGCACATTTATTTAATTTTTTTTTTTTTTTTTTTTTTTTTTTTTTTTTTTTTAATTTTGCTTACATTAAAATGTCAAAGTACAATTATATATGCCATATATATCGTGTTACAATTAAATTCGTGTTACAACATTTATCAACTAAATTAAAATAAGAAAAAACACGGACATACATATATAACTATAAGCATATATACACATACAAATGCGTAGATACGCACATACATAAACTGCTTACAATGAAACATAAGCTAGGATCTAAAAGAAGATCACAAGATCTTGTCGTCAGAACCTTATAAAGCACAAACAAGCAAAATAAATACCAGCATAACATACTAAAAAATAAAGTAAAAATTAAAATAAAGAAAGTACTGAATCCAAGTTGTATAACAATTTTCAAAATATTAGAAGTATCTGAGTATATTATCAAGTGAAATAATACATTTTTTTAGATTGAGCTTGAAAAGGTAAAAGGAAGTTGGTAAATCAAAATTCTGCAAAACTATATTATTCCATAGGTGGGGTCCACAATAAGCAATGCAAAATTGATTAAATTTTGTGTGACAAAATGGTTCTTTTAAAAAGTTTATGTTTCTCATATCGTATTTGTTGTTAGGTTTGAGTTTGAAAATATTATTAAAAACGGTAGGGGATTGATTATTTCTCCATAGATATACAAAACATAAAACTTTAAAAACATTGAGTTCAAATAAATTTAACAATCTCATTTCAGTAAAAAGAGGTTTTGTGTGTGTAAAACGATCGGCATAGTTAATTATGCGGATCGCATGCTTTTGACGACGATAAAGAAGTTTTAACTTACTTTTTACAGTACTCCCCCAAGCAGTGTTGGCATAATTTATGTAACTGTGGATAAAAGAGTAATAAAGTTGATTTAAGCAATTTTTATTTAGGTAGTTACGAGCTTTATATAGAATCCCAATGTTTTTTGAAATTTTAGTAGATATATAATTAATATGTTGATTCCAGGAGATGTTTTCATCGAGATAAACACCTAAGAATTTTGTAACGGAATCATTTTTTATTTCAATTTCGTCAATAAAAAGTTGCGGCAAATTTATTGGTAAAAATCGAATTTGCATGCGAATGGAATAGAGTCCATTTGGTTTTATTAATATTTAAAGTTAGCTTATTACATTTAAACCAGTTTGATATATGTTTTAATTCTTTATTCATAGTAGTAAAGAGTTCGTATATATTACTGTTTGAGAGGAATAGATTGGTATCATCTGCGTACATAATGCTTATAAGGTTAGAAGCTTTATTCAGATCATTTATATATATCAAGAAAAGAAGGGGCCCGAGGATTGAACCCTGAGGAACACCGCAGACGATATCAAGACAATTGTTTTGATAGCCGTCGTTACTAATTACAAATTGTTTTCTTTTTGTTAAATAGCTTCTAAACCATTTTAAGGCAATACCTTCAATTCCATAATAATTAGAAGCCGTTGCCGCCTAACTTTTGATATTTGAGATACGGGAAACTTCCAGCAGAAACTTTTTAAATAAAAAACGTTATAAGCGTTAAAAATTTATTAGAACAGTGATACATAATTAATAAAACCATATAAAACAGTGGTAAAAAATATATTTAAACCTGTGTTTACTTTTCTGAAAATCCGTAAAAAAGCAAGTCTTGAGTTTACATATCTTAAAAACAAATTTATTTACATGATATAAAGTTAAATATGGAACAAAAATATTTTAAAACAAATACATATATAAAACACATTTTTTTTAAAAAACAATTAACGTTGAAGACACTTTCCAAAATCAGTTATAACAGCCGCCATCTACAGGAAAAAAGAACAAAATAGAAAACAGATTTTTAAAAACTACTTAATTTTGTGAGTATTTTGGCAATTGTGTTCAATTTTGAAACCAATATCTTTAATAAAAAGCAAAATCTCATTCAAAAAGCAAAATTATTAATAACACTTAAGATTAAAAAAATATCTCTATAAATCTCGTGTTACCAAGTTTATTTATTGACTCGTCTTGGCATTTAGTTCATGATTTAAAAGGCAAATTTCATGATTTGAAATTCGGTATTGATACCGTTTTTAACAGTGAGCACTAACGTGAAAGTAGCCAGCAACTGCTCACCTCCCTAAAAAAAATTAACAATGATTTCTCAACAAAATGCTATGTAATATCAACACCATTTGAAGCAATTTAAATGGTTCACTCATTAAATTTTAATATTGAGAGCATCTGATCGCTCTATTTTTAGGTATACCTTATACCTATATAGATCTAATGCATGTGTTACCAAGACGAATTAAAATGTTTACATACATACATATATTCATGAAATATTAGGCGTCAGCATTATATATACATTTGAATTATATAACCGCTAAGGCTCATACTACACAAAGGCTATATATATAGTTTTTAAGATGCCATTATCACCACAGTATAAGCTATTTATGTCAACACAATTTTTACAACACTATGACACAAACCAAACAAATGGGGCAGTTTATATCAGTGTCACAAATATTTATATAATAAAATTCCAATAAACAAACATATATACTATCATCAGAAAGGTATAAACATCTATACCAATTAATAACAAGGCATAAGCACTATAAAATAAAGCCGTGATCCAAGAATTGTTATTAAGTAATATTTTTTGTTTTATTACATAATTTGTTTTTGAATTTCGAATCTGAGATGACATATGAAAATAAAAAGATAACATTCATTAAATTTGTTCTTTATTTAATAAAGTTATAGATATATATTTATAGAAAATCAAAATTTTACCAGTAACAACTTTGTCTGCACAGAAGTCCTTTAAAATACTTGATAAATATATTTAAAAAAATGTAATACCTGAAGCTATCTTTCTATATTTACTAAGCCTTAAAAACCTAGTTTACTGTTGCATTTGTGACAATTCCAAAGTTCTTCTATTTCATAACACTCTGTGGAATTCTTTCACATTCACGGTGAAACCATTCTGCACAAGTATAGCATTGCCATCATAAAGGATTTGGACGAATGGAGTACTTGAATGAACATTAAAAGATAATACTTTTCCTTTAACTGGATCCTGTAGACCTTCATTAATTTTTAATCCAATTGACATCATTTGTTGACACAAGTGAATTACATTTTCATTAAGCATTTGTCCGTTTTCAGTATGATTTTGTTCTGAATTTCTAATTAAAGAGGACTTCAGAAACTAAATACGTTGAACAGTGCTTTGCAATTAGACATCTTCACTAACATCAGTAGATTCAAAAACCTTCTGGCAATCACCTGATTTTTTTTTTCATATTCGATTGTTGCATTGGGCACTGTAAACATTTCACAATTTTCATCAATCACGTGGTTTGTAACAACCTCAGAAAAAGAAACTTCATCTTTTACTTTTACTACAAAATTTATGTTTGAAGCTCTTTTAGCCATGCCATATTTAATACCAACTCGTTTCGCCATTTTCCTTTTGCGTCGAACTGGCAGCTGACAAAGTTTTGGTGAATTTATAAGAGACTTGCTCCAAATACCTGGTTTACATTCTTGACGCAGAAGAATACCTTGTTCTCTCAATTAAGTTTCCTCAAAACTATTTTAAAGTTTACAAAGCCCTTCGAACAAATTAGTTGTTGCTGTTTGAGAACTGCCTAAATAAGTTATTTTTATTAGTTCATTCAAGACTTCACGACACGCTGCAGGTGTGTGCTGAATAGACAGTGCTTGACTATTTAGGTTATTGTAACCAAGACAATTTGTATTATCCACAAAACTCAGCATTTGTCTGATCATATTCATCCCGTGAAGATCCAACACAAAACGATTTAGCACTGTTAAAATGATTATTTTGAGACAAATTATTGTTGGAATACACTAAATCTAGAGAGGAAGCCAAATTTGAAGAATAATATTCATCCGACAATGGATCAAAAATAAAATATGGGGAAATTCGATAAGAGGAACCAAAAGATGACCAGGAGAGATTTTCTTTAATAAAAATGACAAAAAAATGCTTGCATGGATATGCACTTTCAAACCAAGCTGGACAAGAAGAAGTTGGTAGTTGTTCAGCATCACCAAAATAACATTGGTAAATGTGTCGATTATTAGATTGAAACGAAGCTACATTATACAATCCTGCTGTTACAGAACTAATTCCAACCAACCCTACACTTGGACATATATCGATCATTCTCATACAATGTTTTACAAGAGGTGGTGGTCGATTAATTAAATAAGCCGGAATGTTAACATTGTATTTTCTATACTATGTATGTGCCCTTCTATTTTCATCGGCATAGCTAAATATATTAAGAATAAATAAAACATAATCGTCTGATAGCACATCTAGATGAATTCAGAATTGGTGATATGAACAAATTATAATTCACAAGTAGCCAAAAAAAATTTTATTTTATTTTAAACTAAAAAAAGTTTAATAAAAATAATAACTAACTTGTCATATTTATGCAGAAGAAGTTCTTCTATACAAATGCTAAGCATTGATGTAAGTGAAGAACTTTTCCTTTTCTCCAAAAAACTGTACTCAAACGTTTGGTTTTGCGGTTCAGTGCCATTGTTAGTGTTGACATTTATCAGCAGTTAATCTCGTCTGTAAGCAAGCACCCATCTCTAAAATTGAAGATGAAATTAACTCTTTATTTCTAGCAAATTTTAAGAACATGTTGTTACGCGGCAAACATTAACTTTTAACAACACATTTCTACTAACCCTATTTGGATACATTAGGCATACTATGGATGTTAACAATCTGATGAATACTACTGTTACTAAACTTTAGGATACACAACCAAGTGTTTTTAAGATATTCTCTCAATTTTAAGTTGTTTTGGGTTCAGTTTTGGCAACATCCATTGGCTATTTTTGACAACCATCTCTCCCAAACCTGCTCTTGGTGAAAATCACAAATAATCACACAACATGCAAAAAAAAAATATAAAAAAAGATATAAAAAAATGAAAGAACATTTATAATTTCTTTTACATTTAAATACACTCATCCAATTGAGCCTTAGATGGAAAAAAAAAGTGTTTAAAAAAAGATAACTAAAACATCAATATAAAACCTCAAAGCAAAAACAGCATTTACTTGAAATACCATATAATCTCAACAAGTTTATTTTTTAAAGTGTTTACAAGAATTAACCTGGATGTTTAAATTTAAAAAAGGGCTGTTTCTAAAGCAGTAAGTAGTACTTTTAATGCTGGAAATTAATAAAATATAAATTATATTACATATAAGTAATAGAAAAGAGCATAAATATTTATGGAAAATGACTTTACCTGGGAAAACAGGTTCAAAAAAATTAAATTCTTCATTACAATAATTAGTCAAAAAACACTAAGGCCGGAATAAAGGATTCCATTTTTTAATACAAATTAGAGCTTCTGTTGTTTCATTTTTACACAAAAAAATGGCAACGACTTGGTATTCAACAGAGAAGCAGAGCATATCTAGTTGTGCGATATGTAGCATCCAGAAAGGTAAGCTCATTTCCATATTTTAATAGCAGTCTCTTTTGCCATACATCTTGATACACAAATAACAAAGAATCTTTGAGAGCAGGATAACTCAGATTTTTCCACTTTAGGTCGAAAATATATACATACTTCTAAAAAGTATACTTTCCATTCATCTATCTTACCTAACAAACATTCTTGATCTATCAAAGATCTTTGAAAGTTTTTTCTAGCCTTCTCCATATGATTTGCGATCGTTTCATCCAGTGGATAAAAACGTTTGTTTGTTTTTAGAATGTTATTTGAAACAAATTTCATCTGAACAAAGGCATCCAGATGACGCCTCATATCTGGAACTGAATTAACCTTTTTTTACAAGTTCAGCAATTTCATTAATGATAAGTCATAAAGAAAGAAAACAAAAACGCAGTGTAATCATTGTAAACACATTGTAATCACAATGTAAACATTGTGGTACTTACATTACCAACTGGATGATTTCTATGAACAGAAATGTCCTGTAGTATTAAAATATATTTTCTACACATTACAATATCATTTTGAGGGGCCAGAGCTTTACGAAGTTTCTATGATGCCACACTTCTCAACCATGCTGAATCTTTTTCAATCTGAAATAAATTGTACAATGAAAAGGTAATAAATAAATAAAAATTATTATTAAAGAAAGACAGGAATACCTTAAATTCAGGAAATTCAACTATTTCTTTGATTGAAATTGCAGCGGGACAATCAAATTTTTTTTTGAATATATTTGTGAAAAGCAAAATAGGGACTTTTTTCAATGGGAAAATTTAAGCTCTGAATGATAACTAGAATTACGTAAAACAATAATTTGAATTAAAATCAGGTAACACATACAGCTTCACTGTTTTTTCTGTTTCTGTATTGAGTTTTGCTGTGCAGCCTTTGTCTACTCCATGTTGACAGTCAAGAACACTGCACGATGATATAAGGAAAGGAACTCCTGTGTATGGACTATTTTTTGTCTCAAAAAAAATCTTGTGATTTTTCTTCATTACATCTTTGAAAAAACATTTAATAAAGATATTAACATATAATTCTCAAGTTTTCTAAATTTCTTTCTCTAAATAATTGATAAAGACATATATTAGCAAATATTATCAATAAAAATCATAAATGGGGCAAAAATATTATTTTATTAGGTGAAAAATCATAAAATATGCTCTGAACATCAAATACGCATCAATATTTCAAACAAAAACTTTCAACCAAACATTTAATAATAACACAACATTGATGATAATAATTAAATATATATTTTATAAACTAAAAATACTGCTCCCTGATTATATTATTATAATAATGTAATTAATTATTGACTATTTATAATATTTTTTCATGACAGCATAAACTCTTTTACCCTATGAATAATGTAACTTGAAAAACACAAACCTTCAAAGTTGTTTTCCATGCTTCGAGTGTAAACTACAACATTATGGACAGTGTGCAACAATTCATGTTATTTTTGCGTTTTTCATTCTTGCGTTATTCCAATATTTAAAAATGGCTCTAAACTTCTATGCTCTAACTATAGACCTATTTCTCTTTTATCTAATATTAGTAAACTTCTTGAAAAACTTATGTATTCTATAGTGTATTCTTTTCTAAACTCATTTAATTGTTTATATGATTTTCAATTCGGTTTTTGATCAAAACATTCTACTTGCCACGCATTAATAAGTATTACAAAAAAAATTAGAAAAGCTCTTGATACTGGTCATTTCGTTTGTGGTGTTTTTATTGATTTGCAAAAAGTATTCGATACCTTTGACCATAGTATTTTGATATCTAAATTAGGACATTATGGAATTCGCGGTATTGTAAATGACTTGTTTCGATCTTATCTTTTAAATCGAAAACAGTTTGTAAGTATTAATGGTTTTAATTCTAGTAATAAATCTGTTTTGTGTGGTGTACCTCAAGGTTCTGTTCTTGGTCCTCTTTGTTTTTAATCTACGTTAACGACCTAATCAACTCTGTTCACTTCTCGTCAGTTCATCTGTTTGCTGATGATACGAACCTCTTGCATATTAACAAATCGCATCAATCTTTATGTAAAAATGTAAATTCGGATCTAAAAGGTATAGTTCACTGGTTAAATGTCTTAACACCAAAAAAACAGAACTAATTTTTTTTTAAATCTATAAAAATGTTGAAGTTAAAATCAAAATTAATAATAAACGGCTATATACTTCGGAAGTTACTAAATATCTTGGTGTGTTAATTGACTGTAATCTTTCATGGGGTTTTCACATTGATGAGCTATGCAAGAAATTATCTCGAGCTAACGGTATGCTATCAATAATTCGTCATTATGTTGATAAAGTTACACTTAAGAATACTTACTATGCATTATTCTCATCTCATCTTAGTTATAGTCGTCAGGTTTGGTGTCAAATCGGAAATTATCGCATTAACAAGTTGCTATCGTCTCAGCGTCAATCTATTAGAATAATAAACTTCCAGCCATTTAAATCAGATACATCGGAATCCTTGAAAAAAATTAACATTCTAACATTTCCAGCTTTAGTAAAGTATGCTAATCTTCTTTTTGTTTTTGACTTCATAAATAAAAGTTTACCATCTTCCATTACAAATTTGTTCACAGAAAGTAGACTAGTGCATTCCTACTCTACTAGAAATATATACAATGGAAAACTAAATGTACCATCTTATAAAATCTTATAAAAAGAAATATGGTAAGTATTCTATAATATATCAGTGCGTCTGTGAATGGAACAGGAGCCTTGTATGCGTTTTGAATGAGTTTAAAAAACTACATCTCAAAATACCTTTTCTTAATATTAAAAAAAATCAATTTAAAAAAATTTTGAAAAATATTTTATTCTAACTTTTAGGCATTATGATACTATATTTTATATTATCTTATTTTTAATAAAATATTATCTTATATTTCTTTTCGTTATTACTACAATTATCATAAGTACTTTTTTAGTTGTTTATTTTTTTTTTTTATTATTATAACCTACAATTATTGATTATTGGATGTTTATTTTTAATATATGTTCTATGTGCGTCAATCTATGTGTTTACATTTTATGTGTTGTAATGTATGTGTTTGTTCTTATTATTACTTATATTTAAAAATTGGTGTCACTACTTTGATCAGGTTTCTGTTTGAGTGACACCATCCTAATAAATCATTAACTTATTATTATAAATAATTGATTCTTATAGCTATCATTATAATATTTATTATTGTTATTATTATTATTTTTTTCATTGTCATTATTATTATTATTAGTTATTATTGTTATTATTTCCATTATTATTGTTATTATTGTTATTATTATTTTTGTTATTGTTATTAATATTATTGTTATTGTTATTATTGTTATTACTATTATTGTTATTGTTATTATTATTAAACTATGTAAAATGATTTATGAAAAATAAATAGCTTGTTGTTGTTGTTGTTCATGTTCCTTAATTTTTGCACAAACATCTGCATATGTTGCACAATTATAATGTGTTTCTAAGGCTGCATTAAAATTGGAAACGTCAGTAGGTGTTATTGAGCCTGCATCTATTTAAAAAAAAATCCTTAAAAATTTAATTAAAAATACCAAAATATATAAACAACTTTGACAAATAGCAGACAATTATTAAGCAATAATAATCACTCCTTTGTACATGAATACTTTTATAAAACTTTATTATTATACTTTTTAATTAAACACAAACTTGTTTTCTTATGATTATTTATAATTTTATAATAGAAGATTTGGTAAGATATAATTTCAAATGATTTATTCTTACCTAACAATTGCTCACCTTTATCCATTTTCAATAGCTTTGTAATAGGTTTAGCGCAAATAATTCAAAATGAGGTGATAAGTTTTTAGGTTAACGGTAAATAAGATGGGTTTGATATTTTAAAAAAAACGCAGAACAAGATATTCATAAGTTTAGCGCATGTGTGTTTGTTTGCTAAAAGTTTAATGCAAAAAATCGTGGTGAAAATTAATTCTTGCAAGAAATAAATATGAAAATTTTACTTTTTATTTTTATACAATTGTAAGGTTTTTTTAATTGTTTCAGCATTTTTAGAATGTTCAAGATGAATAATGGCTCAAGAAACTTTAAAGGTGTTTAGAGTAAGTAAATATTTAAATATATATAAATTATAATTCGCACGTATATTATAAATAATTATATATATATATATATATATATATATATATGTATATATATATATATATATATATATATATATATATATATATATATATATATATATATATATATTTATATATATATATTTATATATATAAATTAGTAGAAAATCATTTAACAAACTTGTTTCATTATACACTGTGCTTCATCAATTAAGACTCATCAGAAATGAATGTTCAAATTAATAAAACTTCAATTTATATCAAAAATTAAATTACAGGAAGTCATAAATGACATAGCTACTGTAAAATTTTCACACATTTGTGGAATGTGCTGACACTATTAAAAAGAATTCTTTAGAATTGTTTACTTCTGCTTTATTTTTAAAAGATATATATATATTTAAAGAGGGAATTTATCATAATTATTATTTGAGGTTACTTATTTTTATAGTTTTTTAGAAGAAACTTATTTTCATGCCTGCATTTAGAAATCAATTCGATTTTTTGTTTAATAAACATTCTTGGTTCGCATGTGTGGTTATTTCAAACTTTTCTTGTAGGCATAATATGCATTTTTTGGAAATATTATTATATGCAGGTGCTGTTTTAAGGATAAACCAATTCAATATAAAATCATCAATATTTTTATCTTTTAATTCCCATATGTATTTTGACAGCGTGGAGTCTTTTGAATGCTTTTTATTTTTAAAGGATTGTTTATGGTTGGCAAAACGTTTTTTCCATTCACCCTCTGCTAAGCCAATAGAGGGTGAATGGAAAAAACGTTTTGCCAACCATATATATATATATATATTTATATATATATATATATATATATATATATATATATATATATATATATATATATATATATATATATATATATTTAATATATATATATATATATGTTAAATATATTAAATAGCACTATTTAATATATATATATATATATATATATATATATATATATATATATATATATATATATATATATATATATATATATATATATATATATATATATATATATATATATATATATATATTTAATATATATATATATATTAAATAGCACTATTTCTTTATTCTTGAAGTGTATACTATACACTTCAAGAATAAAGTGTATACTATACACTTATTCTTGAAGTGTATAGTATACACTTTTAGAGTGAGGAAATGTAACAACTGAAAAGTACAACTATACAAGCATGAAAAAAGTTGGTATTAAAAATGGTCATCCGATTTGTTCTTGTTTATTTCCTTCTCAGTTTAATATTGTGGCCTCTGGTTTTATGGTTGTTGTCTAGCATTTAGGTTTTCTGTGAAATTTTATTATATCATAGCCTTCATGTACTTCAACATTTTTATTGAATCACCTCTTTTTCTGTTCTCCATCGGTGGTAAATCCAACTTTTGAATTCTCTCTTCATAACTATATCCACTTAAACTTTCAATTCTAGTGGTTCTCTGTTGGACACTCTCTAGTTTGTCTTTGTCATACTTCCAATAAAAGTTCCAGATGGGAGCTGCATATTTTAAATGTACGTACAAAGGCATAATTCAGTTGTACGTACTAAAACTATAAAGAGTTTTGTTATTATTTATTTAACTATTTAAAAGTGTTGTTTGATTTTACCTAGCTTTTGATATGACCTAGCTTTTGATTTGCTTTATTTTCTGTTTTATTTACATGGTGTTTCAATTTTAAATCATCTAAACTACCCACCCTTTAATCGTTTTCCATATTTGTATACACTAAAGCTGTATTGCTCATTGAAAATTTGTGTATTTCCTGTTGTCTTAATCTTACATTTTTTTTGGCTGAACTTTATCAACCACTCATTCGACCAGGCAGTTATTAAGTCTTTATTCTATCTGCATGACGAGTCAAACGAGAATGAGTTTTAGCTGATGGAACTAGAGATGATTACTCCTTTGAGCAGTGACCATGATAGTATTTGTAGAAAAGAGAAAGAGATGCAACTTTACGACGATGGGAAAGAGGCTCAAACTTAGCAGATATTCCAGGTCCAACAACCTAATCTTTATTGTAGTAATTTTTGTGTTATAATAAACTGATATGTTTGTCATTGCAAAATATGATTATGTCATTCATATAGTTATGTTATTACAAAATATGTAATGACACATGTTTTTGTGTTATGATAAACTGATATGTATTGTTATATATTATTGATACACAGATTGTTTTGGTAAATGAAACTTTGTGAATCATTTTCCTTAACGACTTCTCTTTCTTGTAAATCCTCTAAAACCATTTATTTTTGTTCAAAATTTTTTTTAAAATTCTCTACATTAAATGCAAATATCCTTTAATATCCTCGTTTCCTTATTAAAATTATGAAAATTATTGTGTGGTCATTCTGCTTAGAGTTTTATGAATTTTGGTTTTATTTTGATAATGTGTAATAGAAATATTTTCTAATTTTATATGTGATAATTTTTTTAAATACCTAGTAATTAATTTTTTTTTTTTTTGTATTTAGGAGCAGAAGTCGATGAACTTGTTAAGGTTTATAATCGATAAATAATTTTAAGACAAAAACTGAAAAAAGGAAGGAAATTTTATAAATGTTCTAAAATTGAATGCAAAGCCAGGTATATTTGTTGGGTTCAAACATGTACCCTCAAACAGAAGACCAAGCTTAACTTTATTTAAATGGAAAGTTGTTGAATTTTTATTCTAATCAGGGAGAAGTCAGAAAATGAATTAAAATGTTAACTGGCCAATCTTTGAAATATGGAGTCTCAATACAAATAAGTATTTTTTTTATGCTAAGTAATTTTTCTGGTACCAGAATTAGTCGGCAACCTTTGCAGTCGGCAAATGCCTATATTAGTAATCGGCAACCTTTAGTATCTCCCTGTAACTTGCAAGTTTAAGGTTGTCGACCGCTAACCTCAAGTGATAACTTTTAAAATTTACTAAATGGATATTTTTAATTTAAAATGTGGCAGAGGACAAAAGTGTCACTGGTTTTCCTTTATTTTTTAAGATTAGTTTTCTTTTGCATTTTATAAATTTTAGTTGCTTCTTGATTCATTAGTTGATGTTTTTTAAAAATTTTTGGAATGCATTTCCCATAACTTAGTGTAAAGGATTTACTATATAATATATAGGCACCACAAATTGTTTATAAATAAAACTTTAATGTTTTCTTTAGAACCTTGTTCGAAAGACGTCGAGACCAGAACTATATTTATTTGATGACAGCTTTTTATATCATTTTCCGTTTTATCGCATAGTTATTTTATAAAATATTTTACGGAATTAAGTAGAAAAGATTTTGAATGTTGGAGATTAAATCATCCCGGGCCAAATCAAGGAATGCTTTTAGGGTTTGGACCCAAAATGGTGAAAAGGATCGACAAGATTTTAGGCCGTATTGACGAGGAAGAAGATGACGAAGTGTTGTTGTTAACAGTACATACACCTGATAGTCATTTAAGTTATGTTAAGGTATTAAGTTATAGAAAATAATAACTTATGTTTTTTTTGTCTTCTTCTACGGTGCGCTCTGTTCACTAAGCAGAAAATAGGATTTTACTCACACTTCTTAAAGATTTTTCAAATTTTAACTTCCTAAATATTTTCTTACGGAATTAGGTTAAAAGTTCCTTATTAAAAAACGGTTTTTTACAAATTTTTTCAATTCTTTTTTTTTTTAAAACTATCAGAATTAAAAATGACTGTTATATTCAACTTAGTTGAATATAACAGTCATTTATATCATTCTATAACTTAGATTTAAAATGAAATAAACTAAAATTCGTTCTCGTTTAATACTACTATTACAACTAAACTTTTTCCTCAAATGGCGGTAAACGGAATAAATCTTTTTAATTTAATGCAACACGAACTTGTCAATATCGGTTAAAAAATAGGAAACAATTAAAACTATGAGAGTTTTTAAGGAAAATTATACAAATTTAGACAGATGTCTAGAAAGAAATCAAGTATAAAGGTAAGGCAATTAATTATGTTGCTGCTAAAAATGCTAAAACTTTTTCCATATGTAGCCTAATATTGAACTCTGGTAAATTAGTAATGTAACATAACAGGTCATAAATTTAAATTTTCTAAGAGATTAAAATTATATCTATATACTATTCTAATACAGATTATAAGTAAGATTATAAAAATCGGAATTTCCATAATAGTAAAGTGAAATTAAAGAGACCTAAAGTTTGTTAAAGATCTTGTATTCTATCATTAATATTTGTCTTAACTACCCCAAACGTGAGAGCAACAAGTTGATAAAATATTTTTTGTACTAGTCTCAACTAGACTTATGTTTATTAATAAATTTTAAATTTCATAGTAAAATATTTTAGCGCTCAAAAATTATGACTATTTAAAATTTGTTACCCCCTCAAATTGAGGGGGTTAAAATTTTACGTAGTCATAACTTTTGAAAGATGAAATATTTTACTATGAAATTTAAAACTTGACAATAAATATGAGTGAATAGCACAAAAATTATTGTATCAACTTGTTGCTCTCACGTTTGGGGTAGTACTTCTCAAAGTTTGGGGCTTTTTTGTTCCCAGGCTCCAATCATCGCAGTTTTTCGCAAACCATCTTTATTTGACACAAGTATAAACACATAAATGTTTAGAGTTTGCTCCATGCCTGAAAGATAGCGATCTCAGAGACCAAAAAATGCTGGATCCGCCCCTTAATGGGAATAGTAAAAAAGATTTTTTCTATATGGCGATAGTCAGAATTAAATGTTTATTTTTTATCAACGCAAACCATTAATTGCCATTGAATTGACGCCATTAATTGCCATTGAATTCTTTATATAACATAACACTCTGTTTTACCGAAAACGGATGCTAAAGATGCGGCAATGACATAACTCGTCTTTCTTTTCAGACACGTCAAGTAATTCTTTCGCAACGATACCAATTTCTGCAAGTAGAGTGTTCCTTCATTTGTCTTTAAGAACAATTTTTTTTAAGTAGCAATATTATCTTTAAACAATATAATTAAAGATTTTAATTAATTTTCAAACTAATCAAATTTATTTAATTTTAAATATTTAATCAATTTAATTGGTAAACATGCAGGACATCCACATTTTGATTTGATATCTACTGCCATTTAGCAAACATTTTGCAAAAAAAAATTTCGTGGTATTAAGAAAAATTAAATTTCTAGATTACTTTCTGATAACAATGACGTGAAAATATGTAATCAAAAGTTTATATAACTTACCTGGTAAAGATGTAAAACTCAACAACTTGCATTGAAAAACCAGCAAAGCATAAATTTTTTAAGTTTCAAAATTGGTCTAATGCCAGTGTTGGTATTATTTTCACCAAGTCATTTAAAGAATTCTAATATGGGTATGTTTCAAAACAAAACTCTTTGTATGGATAGCATGATCCATAGTATGTGCATTAAAAATAAATAAAAATTATATAAAATAACATTACAAATGTAATGTTTATGGTTATAATTAACCTTCTTCACATAATTTATTTTCTTCCATTTAACATTAAATTTGGTTTAAAAAAATATTATTAACCAAAAATTTATGTCATTTTTTAATGTTGCAAAATGGCATATGATATGAAAGTGAAATCTAACAGAGCAGCATTTATAGTTAGTTATAACAAAAATTATTTACCTGTGCTATATAACAGTAAAAATTTCCTTATTTTTTTTTTCTTAGTTTTCTTTAGATTGGTTCTGGCAATCATGACAAATCCAAATTTCATCTTCCTTTTCATAGGCACTGAGTGGAATTTGTTCACAATCACGATAAAACCATTTTCTACAAGTGTAGCATTGAGCCATTTGTCTTAAAAAATTAAATACATATCTATCAACATTATAAATAAGTGATAAAGTCAACATAAAAGTTATTATAATAGTATTACTTACAATAAAGTCATTTTAATAGTATTACTTACATCACCAATGATATGGTTGTTATGAGCATAAAGCTCAGGAATTACCAAAATATATTTTCTCCACATTAAAGCAGTACTTTTTAAAGCCAAAACAGAACGTAATTTTTTTGAAATTTCTTTCCTTAACCAAGATGAATTTCGGTCCATCTAAAAAATAATTATCAAATGACAAAATTGTTACAAATATCCCAAAAACACACACACACACACATATATATATATATATATAAATTTATATATATACACTCACACACACACACACACATATTAGAAGTTAAGTATTGATAAACATTATGAATACAACACCTTAAATTTAGGAAATTCAATAATTTCTTTGATATAAACTTTGGCAGGACAATCAAATTTTTTGGTAACCTGCAGAACTAATTTTTTTTTTTTTTGCAAGAATGATCTGAACTCTGCATAAATAAAGTGAAAATTATAATTTTCATATATCTGATATAGAAAAGTAGTTTAGTAATAGAAATAATAAAAAGAAAAGTTAAACTTACGAATCATCAACCAAGACCTGAAAAAAAAATTGTGCTACTTACTGCTTTTGTACTTTTTTTAGTTTTGTACAGAGCTTCGGTTTTGCTATTTTTGTCCTTGCCATGTTGACAATCGAAAGTACTATGATGAAACAATGAATGGTACTCCTGTGTAAGAAACATCTTTATCCTCAAATAATACTCTGTGATTTTTCTGTGACACTTCTGAAAAAGAGTTTTATATACAGAACTACTGTAAATTGTCAGAAATTACATACATTAACTTTTTTAACATTTCAATCAATTATAAATTACAAAAACAATAAAGCTAAGATTTCAAGATTTGCGCAGAGACTTTTCCATAGCAATTACCCTGTTCATGTATTGAGCAAAACATTGCTCATTTCATAAACCAGATAGTTACGCAAATTGTGTAACACCTCTATTTCCTTTTGTTTATCATCAACATATAAAATATAATATATCACATGATTATTATAAAAAATTTTAAAAATATAACAAAAACCTTCAAAGCCTTTTTCCATGCTTCTTGTAAAACCTACAATGTAATGAACAGTGTGCAATAATTCATGCTCTTTTATTTTAGCACAAACATCGGCATATGTTGCTAATATGTGCTTTGTTTCCTTAACAGAAGTTGGACTAGAAACTGATATTGATGTAGTGATGTTTGTATCTAAAAATGATTAAAAAACTTTTGGAGGATGTTTTAAAATTTTATACAGTACCTATATTTTTGGAAATTTCTAATTTATTTTGTATCATAAAATCATATAATCATGCGCGTGTGTGTGTATCTTTTTAGAAAAGTATATAAATATAAATTACTTTTTAACAAGAGACATTAATCTAGATTTTTATGTGACAATTATGTATAGATGATTAACTTTATATTGACTTTATTGATATTAAAAATTTACTCACTGTTGTCACATGAAATTTGTGTGGAAGGAATGCTGAGACATTTTTTAAATCTATTGAAATATTTTTTTTAGATCTATTTTTTATGCAACCTGCCAAATTTAAAAAAAAAAATTATGTAGCAGCTTGGGTACCTAAATTTTGTTTTCACATATTTGGCAATGGGTGTTGGGGAGGGGGAGGAAGAAGAGGTGCAGAATATGCATAGTCAAATTAAAAATTTCAATAGATTATATATATATATATAATCAATAGATTATATATATATATATAATAGATTATATGTATATATATATATAAATATATATATATATATATATATATATATATATATATATATATATATATATATATATATATATATATAATATATATTATATATATATATATAATACATATGATCATGAAAAATATTGTAAATATCATATGATATAATATAGAAATATTTTTTAATTTTTTATTATAGTTATTGTTATTTTTGCCATTATTTTATATATATACATACATATATATATATATATATATATATATATATATATATATATATATATATATATATATATATATATATATATATATATATATATATATATATATATATATATATATTTTCTTTTAGTCAAGAAGCAGTTATTAAAATTTATAGACTGTAGAAATAGAAAAAGGTTTTTAATTTTATTATTTTTTGATATTGTTTTTCTATGAACAAATTTACTTATACCAAGATCTGAGGCCAAGATTTAAAACTTCAAGGCCAATACGAAGACATCAAAAGTTAACCCTAACCCTTGGGGCTCGGTGATAAAGCTAATTTATGCCTTCTTCTTGCTCCAGCCAATTGTATACTATTTTATATTTTTGTACTTTTTAAACATTTTTAAACGGCGAAATAAACTAACTAACTAACTAATCAACCCAAGACCATGACTTTGAAAAATTTTACACGACCTAGAGCAAGGTCTAGATTCAATAATAAATATAATAAATTTAATAATAGAAGTTTAACACAATAAGACTCATAGAAAATAATATAAGTTTAACACAACATGACTCATAGAAAATAATAGAACTTTAACACATGACTCATGCTCACTCATGTATGTGC